AATTTGACCTAGTTATTGAATTTAGTTCAGTTTATATATTTCTAACATAAATTCAATTTTTAAATTTACACGTGCTCGTTTGAACGTGATTTGAAAACAACTAAAGGAGGAAAATTGTATGAGCTTCTAGGCTTTTTGCGGTTGCTTTCACGCCGACCATCTTATGTGTGTATCCATCCTTCTATTTTTTTCTTTTTTTAATTTTTTTTTGCCTATTTTCCTTAGCTTGGATTAAAATAAGGGATCTAGGTAAAAAATTTAACCTAGTTATTGAATTTAGTTCAGTTTATATATTTCTAACATAAATTCAATTATTTAATTTATACGTGCTCATTTGAATGCGCTTTTAAAATTACTGAATGAGAAAAATTGTACGAGTTTCTAGGCTTTTTGTGGCTGCTTTCACGCCGACCACCTTACATGCGTATCCATCCTTCTATTTTTCCTTTTTTAATTTTATTTATTTTTGCCTATTTTCCTTAGCTTGGATTAAAATAAGGGATCCAAGTCAAAAAATTGACCTAGTTATTGAATTTAGTTCAGTTTTGTTGCAGTCCTATTAGATTAGGAATGTGATTGTGTAAATCATAGTATATCTAAGAATATCTCCTATATTCCTATTAGGAGTTGATTACCTATTAAAAGTTGTAATCTTAAAAGGGTAAGGAATTAACATTCCCTACTACTATAAATAAAGGCACAATGAGGTGGAATAGAACACCCACAATTACACATCTCTCTCTTCTCTCTACTATTGTCGCACCTTTCTCTCTCTCTATGGCTTTCATAATTGTTCAGTAAATTATGTCTATAACACGTTATCAACACGCTCTTGATGTTGCGCTAAAGAGAGTTTGATCGTCAATCAGGGGAGTATTACGTTTTAATCATGGGGAGTATTACGTTTTAATCATTCTTTTTGTGATTAATTTATTATTTTGAATTGATCTACATGCTATTGATTCAATTTAATTTTTCTATGTTGAACGTGATACAACGCATTGGAGATGCAATTCCGGCTTTCCGAGAAGAATCTTCTACAAATTCAAAGACTTTTGTTGTTTTCTGCCAATCAGGTATGCTTAAAATAAAGTAAGATATTTGAAACAACCTTGAAGCATGAAAAACATTCCCTATGATGCATGAACCCCTTATGTTTATATTTATCTTCCGATATATATATATATATATATATATATATATATATTGTATATGTTCATATATTTGTTTCATGCATTACGCAATTATATTGTTATGTGGAATTTGTGAGTCAATGTATATAAAATAAATTATAAGCAATTAGGGTTTCTCAAACCTTAGTAAAATTCGAAAAGAAAAAAGAGAAGATAAGAATTAGGGGATCGTGCGGCAACGTATTAGACCTGTGTTGAAGCCTTTGGGCTTCGTTGCCTCTGTGGATAACTAGGTTGTGTGCCCGGTCTGTTTTCTAACCACGGGCCTGCAACCCCGACCCACGCCAGCGCATGTTGGGTTGGTCCTCCAGTCTCGACCCACGCCAGCAACTGTGCTGCTAGGCTTAATCCCTGCCACGGCCCACGTCTTCCTCAGCCAGCTTATAAGGCTGGGCTCCAGTGCCTCAACCCACATGCCAGCTTTTTCTGGGCCTTGACCAAACTAGCAGCTTGGGTTGCTGTTTTCTATCTCCTACCCAGACCCGTGGCCTGCAATCTACTCCCAAGGCCTTTAAGGCCTTCCCTACTCACGACACCTAGCCCAAATATTTTTGGGGCTATATTTTTGACCCGATAATATTATTTTGCTTATACAATCGACCATGTATGGCCCGATTTATTGAAGTAATTAAAAGTGACATGCAATCCATTAATCTGATCATGAATAAAAAATTATTGACCTTAACGATTCAATAATTTATTTTTATACTTTGAACCATTGACATACTTTCGTAGCAACGAAACTCTCACACTTGAGTTCTCGAAGAACCTCAAATCCATTACATTTAGTTGTATATTACATTCTATGTTCTTGTAGGAACCTCTCTTTGTTCATAAACTAAATTGAACCTCTAGTTTCAAATTTAGTGCCTTTGAAACCCGAAGTTTTCATAAAACAATACACTTATGAAAACCCGACGTTTTTCATGAAAACCATGTCTTAGAATTCGAATGTTCTAACTTTGATGATTCATTCCCATAAGTACCAATCACAATCTTGTTCCCTCCAATTCAAAGGATTGTTGAACCGTCACAAGTTTGATTTTCCCTGATTTGGATGTTTTAAATAAAAACCACTTTATGTGGGGTACAAGACGTGAATCTATACTTGACTATCAAGTAGCTGAGAAACCATTAAAGCCAACAATGGCAAGGAAGAGCTGAATAAGCCTCCGTCATGATCTTCATTTGAAGACTTATGCCCGAAGCATTACCAACAACGGTACCTCATGAACGAGGATTCCATGGCTCTTTGGCTCACTTCTACGGACTGTCTAATTATGAAAGACATTACCTGAAGCACACCATGATTACGTTCATGAATGAGTACAATTCTGAAGTTTATAAATCTGATCGAATTTTGACTGGAGAAAACTTTTCTCGTCCTTCCATGTTTCTAACTCGCCCCTGAAGTAGTAGTGTAGAAAGCAGAAGTTTACCAAATTCTCGGATCTAATTACTATCACAAGTATATGGTAGAATTAGGGTCTGCCAAGATGTGGCATCATGCCTGAAGCATGATCATTGGCACCTAAGACCTAAAACTTCAAGAATAAGGGATAGTATTCCCAAACCTTAACCATGCAGAATCTACTTCCGTCTCGATGGAATAGATCATTGGTTATACACCTGTTCGTGCCCCTATCAATATTGTTAAGAAGTACCATTCTAGTAGTTAATATATGAGACTAATTTTGCTTCATCGAACACCGTTGGAAGAGCATAATTTTGACATGAATGACCTTGTTGGCTGAATCCACCCTAGTAACTTTGGTTTACTTTGTGAACATTTTTCTATGTTCTTGGATTTAAGTTTGGTGCATGTTTTGCTTATGGATAATCTTATTGATATTGTCCTCAAATATGAGTTAATTGAATCATGTTTCTTGTATACATGTGATCGATTCAATTAAACATGTGATTAGGTAGGAATGTGGGGAAGTTAGTTGTTTGGATGAATGCGATACTATGCACATTAACTTTACACCTAAATCACATCTCTAACAACGACTTCAGGTCTATCCAACCTGATTAAGAGCATTGACACGCTCCTCGTTGTATGAATAGTACTGCATCACCATTTAAGGGACCTTAAATTCTCCCTGTCGTTGAGTTTTTAAGGATATTCGAGAGAACAATGATCATCAATGAAACCATTGAAGAAAATAGAGTGAAATATCTTTGCACCACTTCTAAAAATGAGTGAAGCTTTGATTTTGGGCCAATGAGCTGCCTCCCAACTGGGAACACGCCATATATGGCTGGCCTGGAGCCTGGTGATTGAGTAGTTTACTTGTTTTGGCACGACCATTTGGGACACTTAGGTCGACCAATGATGCTACGACGCATCTCCTTACCTGAAGTAAGGATCTTGCGCCAACAAGCACACTTTGCCAAGCCTAGTCATTAGGGAAATTGATTTATATATCATTCCTAGCAAAGATACGAAATGACTCATTTTTCACAATGGATTCAAGGGACTATATGTGGACTAATCCAACCAAAATGCGGACCATATAAATACTTATAGTTTTGGTTGATGAATCGACAAACTGGTCACATGTTTGTCCATACACATTGCTGTTAAACCTTCAGGCCGATTAAGGGTTCACCACCATACTTATCCCTTAATGTTCGGGAGATTGGATAACGCCGGAGAGTTTATATCGACGGTTTTCGATAACGTATTACATGTCTTTTGGGTTTATAATTGAACATCGAATTCCCATGATTCACCCTAAATAGCCTCGCCTAGCGATCATAAATCGCAATTTCAATGATCGCCCAAATTTTGGTAAATGTACCAAGTTTTCGGTTTTTGCCAAGGGCTATGCAATCTTGTACGCAGTTATGTTGGTCCACCTTAAGGCTCATTGCCACCCAACTTATATGACGTTATAGTTGGTTACTAGGTACGAACCTGATTTTTTTGTATTTACACATTTGGGTGTGCATTTCATGTGCCAAGTTACGCCGCCGCAACGTATCAATATGGGTCCTCAAAGAAGGATGTGAATCTTTGTCGATTATGATTCTCCTTCACACTAGCTCTTTTAGAGTCCTTGCACGCGATCTCTTTACTACTCATTTGCGGGTTGTCACTTTAATGAGACAGTCTTCCCGCCGTTAGGGGGAGATAAGAACGTCAACGTTCCTGTAAAACGGCATGAAGTTGCGTGGACGTTGCCCATTATGTCTTATCTCGATCTCTATACCGCACAAGTGTGATAAGCAAGATTAAACCACACAATTGATTTTCATAATTGATGTTGAACTCACCATGAGCCGAATTCGAGTTTTATTCACTTAGCGAATTCGATGCTTAATTGTTTTAATTCTATCGTTATAAAACTTAGACCAAATTGCCTATCATTTTAGCTGAATATCGTTGTATCAAAAAAAGAATTCCTCACTTTTATTTATACAAATGAAACATAATATCTGAATTGGTAATCATAATTCATAATATAAATGACTAAACGATTGTCAATTGATTAAAAAAATGAACTTTTTCATTATGACACTTGAACATTTCTTTTGTTCAATTGAAAATTTTCTTTCGTCACATTCTTCTTCAATTGTAAAAGAAATTTAATATTAAATATGAAATATTTCAAAATTTTAATATTAAATATTAAATATGAATAATATATAATAAAAACTGATATCATAATATACGATGAACATGTGAGATCATAAATCCCTAGCATCCTCGTCGGATCCTTTTCCCTGTCGACCTACTAAAGTCAAACTTTTGTTAGTTTCCAAAAAAAAAAAAAAAAAAAAAAAAACCCTCAAAACTTTTATTTATGATTGAAGCGGTTCGCTTTCTTCTTTAATTTCATTCATTCTCTCTCTCTCTGCTCTCCAGCTACCTTCAGAAAGAAAACCTAGGCTCCCATTTACTCTCCCTCCCACACTCTCACATCCACTCTCCGCTGCACCATCTCTTCACATCTTGGTAAGTCTTCGCTGTTTTTTATTTCTTCCGTTGATCTCCTTCATCACGATCTCTGATTTTTGCTTATATTCTTGTTGATCTCTGAATCTGCTTATTTCTGTACTTGTTTATCCTCGATCTATGATGTTTTGATTGTATTTGTGGATTTATTTAGCTAATTTATTTAATTGGTTAAGGAAAGCAACGTTATTGATTAAAAACATTGTTAATTTCTTATTTTTGTTACAGTTTCTGCTGAATTTTCTGTAAATTTAGCTCTCAATTTCTGTGTTTGCGTTGGGATCTGAAGACTGAAAGCGTAATATTCGATAAATTCATGATATTTTTTAAGCATAAGTTTATGCAAATTGGTGAATCATTCCGAATTCCATCATCATTCAGTTTGCAATCAGTTTTTATTGAGACGCTTCAGTAATTTATATCGAAAATCGAACTACGAGGGAAAATGAACCTTCTTTCTTTGATTTTCAGCAAGCATTTTTGAAAAGTCACAATTCTATTCAGTTCGGCTTTGGAAAACTCGCTGATTGCGGATTAGTGCGTAATATGTGTATATAAATATATATAAGTGTCTTACGATATTTGGGAAATACACCGAATGAGTTGATTCAATTCGTTTTTATTGTTATTTTTATTGAACAAATACATAGCTTAAGAGTTATCTACTGTTATCGTTCTTATTCCTTATTCGTATAATTACATTCAGCGAAACAGATATAATTTTTTAGGAGCACCTCAATTTGTTCGTTGCTTCAGTTCTTGAGCTTGGAGTAAAGATGTTGCAGCTGTACACGGTGATTTTCAGCGAAATGCTGCTGATTTTGATCTTGTTGTTTAAGTCCCCTCTGAGGAAGCTAGTGATACTGGCCTTGGATAAGATGAAGCGAGGGAAGGGCCCAGTGATGGTGAAGACGGTCGCTGGGACTGTATTTATTGTTCTTCTGGCCAACGTCTACAATCTGGTGGACATCAAGAACCGAACGAATGAATCTGGTGTACTCAACCCTACGGACGAGGTTCTCATGTCCATGAAAATGCTCGAAAATTCTCTTATGGGTATTCTTCTCGATCTTTTAAGATTAGTTATCAGGCTTATGTATTGTTTATCTAGACTTTATCCTGTTTTTTCTTTTCAAGTTACTGAATTAGGTGTACTTGTTATGAGTTGTGGCTCTTAATCGTTGAGCGCATATGCGATGGAATTAGAAAGAAATGGTTTGATTATACATAGGGCGAGTTCATAGCTACCTTTTGAAGCAGCTGAATGTTCTTGTGCTTTGCCATTAAGTGTTGGATTTTCATCAGCTTGAGCGTGAAACGTATTAGCTAAACCTGTTATGAAGTTGAGTTAGGTCTCGAACATAAGATCTTCTCTGTTGTTTGTTTCCCGATATTTTCTAACATTATAGATATGCTATCTTACTCCCCCTCCTTTTTGTTAGGTAGAACTTTCGTCATCTGATGCGAGGCAATTAAAATGTTCTTTTGCTTATGTTATTGATAATTTTAGTGATTTCTGTTTGTAGGATGATGACAGATTAGACATTATATTGTTTGCTAATTGTATTTCTTTGATCTGCTCGATCACCATTCATATCCTTCAAAACTGACTTTCAATTGTATCGAATGCAGGATTTTTTCTGTTTCTTTCACTGATGATGGATAGGTTACACCATTACATAAGAGAACTTCGATTCCTGAGGAAGGCGATGGAGGCTGCGAAAAGACAAAACCAAAGTTCTCAAGACGATAAAAACGGAAGTTCAGAGCAACTTAAGACCTTAGTACAAGAGAATGAGACATTGAGGACAAAGATCGAAACTCTGGAGTCTGAATATGAGACGAAAGCAAAGAAGGCAAAGGCGGCAGGAAGTGAGGTGGAGGCCCTAAGAAAGCAATCTGAAGGACTCCTTATGGAATACGACCGCTTGCTGGCAGACAACCAAAATCTCCGCAGTCAGTTAACATCAATTGAACAGAGCGCATCCCACTCGGATGGGAAGAAGAACACGTAATGGAGTGGTTACTTTGGTAATTGTTGGTCATCTTTGTCAATATCTAACTCTATGAGGCGTAGTGTAGATTTGGGATCGAAGCATAAAACAATATGGCTGCAGTTATAAAAATCCTACCCTTAGTTATATATAAATGTAATCAAATGATGCAAGAATTTTGTTAATTCTCGTTTCTATTCGATAAAGACTGCTTGTTGAAAAAGTAGATAGAGTTCATATGTTGTGCTAGGGTCGTTGCATGCACGTTGCACTAATTACTGCTTAAACGATTCTCAAGTGGAAATGGAAGTGCTTATGGAAAACTGGAAATTAAGGGGGAAATCTATTTATATTAGGGTGTTTTGCTTGCACATGCATTATATTGCTCAAGCAAATCTCAAGTACATAGGAAAGTAACATGCAACTAATTTAGGAGAAATTTTTCGGTGTGCCAGAAACACGGTCCGGTACACGTCATAATAAAATTGGTTGGAATTTTTTTTTTCAAGTTTCCAACCAATGTATTATTATACTTGGTGTACCGAGCCGTGTTCCTGACAGACTGAAAAATCTCTTCTAACTTTGGAGTTAAATAAATGCTCTTTTGTTCAAATTAAATTGAAACCGTATATGCATATATAACAACTGAAATTCGACCGGAAAGCAATTTCTAAAGCTAAATTGCTCCTTCGTTTCTCAACTAGTTCCAATTCATCAAGCCAATGGCATTAAACTTCATGCCAAAGCTCAGTGCTCTATCCATAATACTAGTGATGGTTCTAGCCATGGCTACATTTCCAGTCCGAGCAAGTCGCAAGTCCAAAGAAACCCAACTCTCCTTCTACTTTCAAGACATCTCTACCGGTCCGAACGCCAGAGACTTTCCATTTGTAGGTATTCCCGGCAAGCGTTAGACCTTCACTCAATTTGCCACAATTTACACCGTTGATGACCCCATAACGGAAGGCGTAGACCGCAACTCAGCCTCCGTTGGCAGGGTTCAGGGGTCTTCTATGACATCAGGACTGGACGGACGGAATGCTCTTGTATTATTGTCGATTGTGTTCACAGACAAGAAGCACAATGGCAGCACTCTGGAGATACAAGGCACTAGTAAGCAATTTGAGGAGATCAGAGAACTATCGGTGGTTTCAGGTTCCGGAAAATTTCGATTTGTTAGGGGATATACTACATTTGAAACAGTTGTGGTGGACCTTCCAAATTCATACGCAGTAATACGATGCAATGTTACAGTAAAGCACCACTAGAATATCATGTTCATTGGTTATACTATCTATGTATGCAATATAATTGCAGTTCATGTTCTTCTTTGCAGTTCGTGTTCTTCATGCTATCAAATGCTTTGGTTTGTAATTTCTAATTTATAATTTGTAGGTCAACTCTTGAGGCTTGAGAAATATACCAACGAAGCCCTCAATAAAAGACTGATTAAATCTGAACAAGTATTTTGAATTTTGATCCTAAATTCAACATTTATACATTCTCGGATGTTACGGCCAAATCCTGAACTAGATGAACTCTCCTACGAAAACACGTATTTCTTCGCACTTTAAGCCCCGGAAAGATACGTAAGAAACCGTAAGGACTGGCCCGGAGAGAAAACAGATATAAGATATTGGCTCGCTTCTCTCTGCAAAGCGTTTGGGAGAAACATTGCTACTTGATGTTTGACGTTTTTTATTGATTTGTAATTTAGGTTGTACCAGTTACTATCTTTTGTCTATGAATTTCTACAACTTGCAGGCCTCCTTGCATTTCATGTACTATGCATGCAGTATGCACTTTGAAGGAGTTTTAGTCAATTTTTTCTAACAATGAACATGATAGGTCGATAACATAGATCGGTTACCGACAATCTTCTGTCAAAATACTCTATATATAGTGATGTTTCAACATACATAAAAGACTTGAAGGGTGCGTAGCGCACATAATTAAACAAAAAAATTTAAAAAAAAAAACCTCTCACGCGCAGAAGCGCACATGTTGAAGCTAGTATGATAAAATACTCGGAGGTGGCAATTATAAAACTCAAATGCAAGTGAATGGGGGCTTTCACAATGACTAATTCATATGCAGATTCTAATAATATTCCAGAATATTAAAACATTAACAATGTTAATAGGTGGTGGATTAGTATTGAATTGGAAAGTTCTGGTGCTTTTAGACCCTTTCTCCAGCCACAAACAGAACTTTAGGCCATTTCCACTTGGAAGAACCATATCCACCCAAGTGGTGTCCTATATTCCTTGAAGGAGATTAAATAAGCCAATTTGCCAATAGAATTTACTTTCAATTTTCAACAGAGGGAACAGAAATCTGGTGATCCAGTTGTAAATGCAGGGTTCTGGCTTTTACCAAATGCCAACTCAAACTGGTCCATCTTTTCTCAGAGTTGCCTAAAACAGTAAATATTGGCAGGATGATATTGAAAACTACACCAAAGTTGGCACCCTTCTTTTACCTACCAGATGAAGAAACTGATGCGCAGATACGTTTTATACCAAGAATTATTATGGCTTCTCCTCTAAGCCATGGGAATTAAACCAAACTGGTCCGCCAGCACGAGAAGTTTTTCAGTCGGATTGTCACATTGTTATGGGGATGTTACCCTGTTAGTAATCTTCATGTCAAACTATATGGATAAAATATATGTCATAGACTTAGGGTTCGTTTGTGATTGCTTTGGTAGGAATCACTTCTGCTCATAACCGTGTCTATTAAAAATTCTTCAGCAGAAACACGTTTAGTCTTTTATTAAAAACTTAAGTACTTCCCAAATAAGCATTGACAAGTTTTTCCCCATAGAGCGCTTCTATGACTCAGAAACACTTTTAACTTTTTATGTCACACATTCAAAAAACGCTTTTATCTGTTAAAAATTTAAATTGTTTTAGCCTTTCTAGAAGCAATTTCAACCGTAACCTTAGAATATTATTAAAACATGAGAAAACTGATAATACCACGTACCAATGTGCAATTGAGAGAGACGGCTTAGTAGCATAAAGACCAGAAGTCATAGCAGTAAAACAAAAGAAGAGAGAAAAAAAGGATGGATTTTTATGATTACCAAAAACTTGAAATCGAAGGAAGTAACAAATTATCTCTGTCCCTCTCAAGAATGGGATTGCTTAAACCTACACTACTACTATTTCTCCTACTTTTTTGGCAGGCCCCTAAAATATCCACATTAATTCTACAACTAATATTATTGCCATCTAAGAAATCTAAATCCAAATCCTTCTCACTACCTACACCTTCAGCATCGTCCTCAATGCTGTTGCTTTCATCACAATCGTTCTCTCTAACTGTGATCCAACTCTCATCATCAAAACTCCAACTGGGGTCCCCTGAAAACAGCGACAACCGTCTGATCCTCTGATCGTCGGAGGAGTTTTCGAAACTCGGGTTTTGATCAAGACTGCCCGAAGTCTCTGATTCCCCAAAAGAATTCCATATATCTTGATCGAGAATGCTTGTTGGAGAACATGAAGTGGACTCATGAACTTGTTTTGTAATTTTAGGAGAACTAATTAAAACTTCTTCTTCTTCTTCTTGCCCAAGATATGAATGTTTTAGAAGCTGACTAGCCGTCCAACGCTCCGTTGGGTCCCTCTGTAAGCACTTTTCCAAAAAGTGCTTTGCTTGTTCTGAGAGGAAGCTTGGAATCTGAGGCAAGTCATTAGAGTATGCAATTTGATACAGAACAGTTACTGGGTGAGCTGCTTTAGGCCACGGCGCTGATCCTCCGGTAGCCATTTCGATAATTGTACACCCGAGAGCCCATATGTCGCACGCGAACCCCTGCTCTTCTCCGCGTGCCACCTCCGGCGCCATAAACATTGGCGTCCCGCCAATTGTGGTGGCAGAAGCTACTGCCGGATGAGCCCACCTAGCACATCCAAAATCTGCAATTTTCGGACCGTCTTCACCAGCCAAGATGTTCCTGCCTTTTATGTCACAATGTACCAACCCAAGTGAATGCAAGTAGTCTAGCCCCTTCACAATGCCCCTCGTGTAGTTTCTGATCATCGATTCGTCAACTAGGCCTCCGCGGCTGCGAATTGCATCGATGATGGTGCCGCCGGGCACGTACTCCATGAGAAGATTGTACATGAGCTTGTTGTTCTCACTAGTAATGTCATGTCCCATGTAGCTTACAACATGTCGACTGCTCAAAACAGAGTGAATTTTCTGCTCCCTCTGCAAGAACTCGGATTGAGACACCTGGGCGGACTTGACGGCAAACTTGTCACCGGAGCTGCGAAAGGTGGCTAAGGAGACGGCGGCTGATGAGCCTTGGCCAATGGTGGAGCCTCTTGTCCAGTCCATTTGGCGATGATCAAAGAATAAAACGTACAAAATACAAAACTTTTGTGTTGGTTAAGATGCCTATTGGCTTCGCCTTTATATATGGACCAACTCACTTGCAAATACAAGGTGGCATTTTTTAAAACGTTAGTTTAATTTGTTGGTTGGGTCTCTCTCTCACTCACTCTACCGCCAATAGGGTTGACAATTCCCTTAACTTAAGCCGGCCACATGTCGAAATTTGGGTGGGGTTGACGGCATCGGCCTCCTACACCGGTGCGATTTGGCGAAATTGGATGCCAACACGTGTCAAGAATTGGTTTAAGAGCCAACAGGATCATCTCCGGATTCTTTTGGTGAGGATCTTAGAGATTCGTGAATCATGTCCGTTTATCGTACGATTAGTTTTTGTCATGTACTATTTGTGTTTAATTTTAAATAAAAATATTTAAAATGATTTCTGATCGCACGATGTACGATGATCGGACACGATTTACAGGATCCTCACAAAGAGGATCCGGCAAAAACCCGGATTCGTTTAAGAGTGTGCAAACCTGAAAATTGGGGTACACATTTGGTTTTGGTTTGGTGAAAGAGATGGGAGAGGTTGGAAAGAGTTAGATTGGATTGGATAATCCTAATGGGATTGGATTCTGTAATTTGGAAGGATATGTGAAATTAAAATTGGGAGGGTTTGTCGGTAAGGTGTGTTGAACCACCAAAATAGGGTTGAATTTTAGTATCACTTTCAATTTTAGTTTTGGTAAATGGTTGAATTTAAGCGTGTGATTTACCACTGAACATGCAAGTCTTGTCAAAAATCAAGTCTTCTTTTTGGTTGAGAAAAAACTACAAATATGGAATAATATGCCAATTGGGGTATACTTATCCAAAGTTTAAAGAAGGGGATTTAGAGTTTTGACCAAGTCTTACACTAAACCATGCACCATCATTTTTTTAATTATTTTTGGGACCCTGGATTCTTTGACCAGTGCAGATTTTGCAATGGCAATACTCATAATTTTTCAATATTAGCCCAATTTTTCTCTATTGTAGACGGTATTGAAAATATTCACGAAATTGTTGAAATATTTGAAAAATCAAAGATTAATATGGAAAGGAGGGGTAAAATTAACTTCACCCTATATTGATGAGATATAGGAAAATTAATAAATATTGATGATATTTATCGATTCATTACAGAAAATTTGTCATAACCTATTGCAGCTTTCGAACTTTTGAATTTCTTTTGACAAAATTTTCTCTAATTTTGAGCAAATCTTAATGAGTTGATATACCCACTCTATTGTAAATTTCCATAATTTCTGTCAAAGGCAACCAATATCTATGTCGATATCCATATTTTAAACATTAATGGTAACTACATATTATCATTGACTTAAGATCATATTTTGTGGAAATTTGTGTTGTCATCACTAGGGCACAAAAATTCAAAGAAACGTAAAATGTTAAGCAACAACAGTATATGTGAAGCCGATGGACTAGGGAAAATTCAAACAAATTTGAGTTTTTTTTTTTTGAGCAAATTTGTAGTCTCTCTCTTCTTAATGAAAATTTTGTAGCTTTCTGTTTTCTTTCTGTTAATGATGTATGGTTTAATCAAGTTGGTTGGAATTCATACTCTTCAGATCTTTTTGTTCAGAGTAGACGGACTAGGAAACCCGGATCACTCAATTTAAATCTTGATACCCTCATTGCCCACCACACACAAAATCAAACCCTTGAACGGTCCAAATCTCTTTCTTTCTCGCTCCCTTAAACCGTCCAAATTCTCTGGCTCTAGACACAGAGGATCTCCGAATTTGAATTCGGCGTTATGCAGCACATTTGTATTAGCTTTTTTAAATTGTAGATGTTGATGTGACCTATATAAATTTGTGTTATTCTTTTACCGTTGGATTATACTGCAATATCTACTTGATAAAAAGCCAAATAATCAGATCTTAGAGTCGATTTTGTGTCCGTTAAGTAAAGCAATCATGATTGATGATATGCCGTCTTGGACGTGTCCCTTAATATCATGT